TTTATGAATGTTTGTAATATATACTTATATTGGTGACTTCATAAATAAAGAACATGATTTTTTTTTCATGATTTATCATGGTATGTGAATTATGGATTAAATTTTATCCAAACAAAATTTATTATTTGTTTTGTTTATTTTAATTGTATATAAAAGGTTCTTCAAGTTTCAAAAATACAAACCAAATTTATTTAGTTTGCAGGTTTCGTTTAACAACTTAAAACAAACTCTTAATCTTTAGTTTACTAAGTTGATACTGTCTTAAAACAGTATGATTTTGTCCAATCTTATTTAGATTAGTAATTTTGCACATGACAATTTTTATAGTTTTCTACGATTTTTTTATGGGTTTGGGAGTCTTAAAATAGTTTTTTTGTTGGAGATAGCCCGTTATCCTGACAGTATAGAGTGTTAAATATGTTTTGAGAATCATTGTATATTAAATTTTTATATGCATTAATAAACTGTGAAAAAGTGATTACACTTCTTAAACTTTTCAACCTAATAATTCAAGATTTAATAGCATAAATTATAATTATTGTCTCCTCTTATATTCAATTTTAAAACATACATTTTTTTAACAAACTTGGAGACTATAAATAATTGTTGTATTTCAAATAGAAAATTAAGGCTAATTCAAAACAACAATATAATTTAGCATACAATTAATCTCATATCAAACATACAAAAATTGAATAATCTATTACCACATTACATAAAATTAATTGGTCATATTACAAAATAAATTTAAGATAAAAAAATATGAATCTAGGAGCGAAAAAGGTAAAGAACACCCAAAAGAAGGGAAAGAACGAAGGAACCAAAACTCACCGCGGAGAAACAAATGAACGAAAGAAAGACCACTCAGAAAGAGTTGAAACCTAGTCAATGGTCTTAANCTTCAGGACTTTGCAGACAAGAGTTTCCTTAGCTTCAACAATCTCACAGAGTTCTCAAAGAGTTCAGAGATCTTTTGCACAAGGGAAGAGTTATTTTTGAGATAAAGAGTGAGCCATTTTATAGACTCAGCCTAATACCCTTCCATTCTTCGAAAACGGGCCATCTAACGCATTTAATCGATTAACATAAATATTAATCGATTAATAATGAGTACAACGGCTAGTTTTTCAAATCTGAAACCCCCAACGGCTAGTTTTTCAAATCTGAAACCCCCAACGGCTAGTGTTAATTGATTATTCTCAGGAATAATCGATTAACTAAATAAATCAAATATAAATTACAAGAATCAACCCTAATACATATTTGAGCACTATTACATCAACTTTGATTATTATAAAAGCTTTATAAAATACAGAGATCTTCAATTTGTCTTTATGGATCTTGACTTGTGCAAATCTGTTCATCATCAAAACTTCATCTTTGATTTTTGCTAACAATGTGCATCATGCAATGCACTTGAATTATACTTAATATGACTGTTACTCAAATACCTCTCATATTTACTATGATAGATTTTCACGAAGTCATAGAAAGATCACATTTTCAATGATTATCGCAACCATGACACCATAATATCTATCATAATATGTCATTTTCATTTGTCATAAAATGTCTTGTGTGTAGTAGTGTGATTTGTAGTTTTCAAATTTTACTAAACTAAGTTTTTTTTTCTTTTTCAATTTTCAGAATTGAATGTGTGAATTGGTTTTTCTCCTTTTTATTTAATACATTTTATTGTTTTGCGAATTGTTTAGGACTAAATATGTTTTTAGGCTTTATACTTAAATGTAAAAATGAAATTCGTTTTTATCTCAAATTTAGATACATTTTGTTTCAAAGAAAATGTTCCAAAACAAAAATGTCAATTCACATCAATTTAAAATGTAGTTTAGCATGTTAAAAAATACACAACTGTGTTAAAATAGTTATATTATTATTTTTTAAAATTTGATGATCAAACTTTATGAAAATTTAAGATATGTACTAATTATAATTTTAAAATCTAAATATAAGAAGAAAAACATATTATTTATATTTAGAATAATTAATATAATTTTTATTTATGTTTGTTGTTTGTATCGTTTTTCTAACAATAAATTACTAGTATTTAAGAAGGATGGTTAAATGTGAAAATTTTGGTATAGTCATAGGTGGTCATCAAAACAAAATTAAATGAATATAGGTTCTTAAAAGTTTCATTCATTGCTTAATTTTTTATGTTGTTGTATGAGATATTTGTTGGTCTGGTGGTAATTGTTTTATCTGTTTATGAAAAGTGCACGTTTTTACAAGTTGACTTATCAGTAAAAGAGCCTTTTTATCTGCTGGTTGATACGGAATATTTGTTATATATTTACTTCAGATGTTTAATTTTTCTTGTCGTAACTTTTGGTAATAAATTTGAGCCATTGATGGCACACGTGGTTTTTTAAAGGTTGGCAAAGCCTTTAATGTTGTGAATCGTAATGTAAGTTATACACATATGATGCATATTCATCTAAGAAAAGCTATATTTATAATTGTTGCACTTTTAATAATAGGTAAGTACAAACTAGGTAGAGAAGCTTAACTATTGTGTAGTCACATGCAACGGTGTTATAATAGGAAGCTTTTCTATTTCTGTTTTTTTTTCCTTTATATTTTACTTTTATGATTTTGTTTCAATGTTTTTATAACTAAGAAAAACTTAAATTTGATTAATTATACTTTTCTTTTTAAACTTTTAAGCTAGTTGTTTCATGACTGCAAGAGTGAGGTTTCTTGTTGGTTTTCAATATCAAGTATCATTGATTTTTGTATGTCATCTAAATTTTAAGTTGTTCGATTTTGAGTTTTTTGTGCATTCAAATTATTCAGAGGTGGTCGAACAGATAATGGGTTGTCTTTTAGTTTGGTCATATTGTGTAAATTCTCTGATTGTTTGTTCTGTTATGGTTTTTTCTTGTCCCTTAGGTCTCTAGAGTCTCCCGTTTGTGTAGAACCACTGAGATGCTACATGTAAAAGATACTCTAATGTTAAAGTCAATAGATAACCAATCTGTTAGCAATTAATGCAGTGATGCATGTTATGTGCATGTATGTGAAATTCATACCTTAGACATTTATCTATAGTAGTTGTTATGGACTTTTACCTTTTTTGTCGACCTAATAATATATAATCATACCTTAATCGATATTAATATCTTGATTCTTTACTACCATTATTAATATGATCATTTTATAATCGATCGATCATGTCGTTTGGTTAATGTGATCTACCATGGGGTGATGTCCTAGAGGTTGGCCTCGAATGGTTGATCAAGAGCGATCAATTCAAATTAACTCCCCAAGTAGTTGCCCAATAGTAGTCAGTTCAAAGAAGCTTGGCCAAGAACTATGTTCAGAGGAGTTCAACTTAGAGTGGTCAATCTAAAGGAACTAGGCTCAAAGGAACTTGATATGTAGTAGTCAATATAAAAAAACTCAATCTATAAGAACTTGACCTAAAGTAGTCAACCAAAAAAAATTCAGACTAATTTTGGAATTAGAAAAGTTCTTTTAGTGATTGGCCATCTAATATTAATTGAATGATCTACACTTGATATTCAAATATTTTCATTATATTATAAATTTTTATTTTTTAATTCATTTAACAAGTAACTTTTATTTCGTGAAGATTTTCTTCTCATGGAGGACGAAAAAATTAATAAAAAAAATTTGCAACTATTTTAATCAACTAAAACCTAAGTCAAATAAGATAGTTTAGTGAATAATACAAATAAATAAACAAAAACTAAAAAAAAAACGATTTTATAAGAATATCTTAATCATGTAGTGGTTCTTGTTGCTTGATATTTAGTAAAAATTCTACAATTAACATTAATTATATAATATGTATGTATAACATTAATATTTGTGTATAACATTCATTTTAAACTAAATTATATAACATTTATATAAATACTAAGTTTTATTTACAAATGAAAATATATTTCAAAATATTAATTATAATATGAAACCATATTTAATATAAATTATACAATTTATAATATTTTGTAAGAAAATTACAGAGATTTTAAATTATATTAAATCATTTCAATTATACATTAAATTTTATAGTATTATATATCACTTCACATTTCGTTATATTTAAAATAAAATTATATTGTTGTGATATGTATAACATCAATATATTATAATTATAAACTTTATTAAATTATTAATTAGAAATAGAATTTTGTTTCAATTACTTGATTTGTCCATTTATTGATTTCAGCTACATCAGTAAATACCTGCAGAGCACATAGCTTCTGATCCGCAAGCTTCCAACATGAACTTAATAATGTGAAAATAGCCCTTGCTGGCCCAAATACTTGTTGACAGACAGATTGGGCCGAAGGATCATTAACCGGCCCACAAATTGGAGAGCTTGTGAAATTCCACATAACCACAACCATCCATTAGGTTTCCGTATGAGCGTGCTCCGTCCCGTCCTATAAATTGAAGCTGCTTTCCTTTTGTTTATGTAAAACCCTAGTTTTCGTTTGCAGGTTCTCTCTTCTCACTTTTCTCTTTTTTCTTTTCTCGCAATCGTTCTGGTTTTATCTCTATGCTTCTTCTACCTGACGCCAATTGATGAATCTTTCGAAATGTTGAGTGCTCAAACTTTGATTTTGAGTGCGATGAATACTTTTCATTGAATAGGAAGATCTGATGCCGCATTCGTACATTTCGATTTTCTTCCCGTTTTTTTGTTTATACTTTTGCAACCTACTTGTTTTTTCAATCATTGTTTGAAATGGTTTTAATCATTCTTTTTCAATGTTTACAATAGGCAAAGTTTGTATCTGATTAATTGGTGCAGTGGTCAGTGATGCATATATCATAACTAGCTGAAATGCGACTTTTCGCATTTTTGTTGAAAATTTTGAACTAGGACGGTCTGAGGCTACTGAATCCGATTTAAAATAATGATTTCTTTTTGTTATTGAATTTTTGTGTGTTTTGATGTTTATCATTCCTATAATTTGTTACCGGCTGTCAATCTTCGATCTATGCAGCGCTGTGGATGATGAGAAGTATCAAATTTACAGTTATCCCTGGCTGATCTAGCAGGTGATGAAAATTTGTAATCTGACGCAGTCTTTGCTTCCAAGAAATAGGTGCTTTTGTTCGTGGTTTCAAAATTCCTATGTACTATTTCAATATTTCAATTAGTATTGAATAATAATTTTATATTTCTAATATTAACCATTACAACTAAAATTATTTTTTTCTAATTCGGGTATAAGTAAATGTTCCAACGTAATCAATGTGAAATGGGACTAAAAAAAAGAGGAGTACTTCTATATCCATTAAAAATATTAACCAGAATGGATTTTTTTTAATTATTTAAAACAATTAAATTTATGAGAAGACTTAGATCGAAAGGTATACAACTTTAAAAAATCAATTTTACAAATTTAATTAGATATCTTTAAATTTATAAGAAAAGTTTAAACGTAAATTTTATACATGTGGTTGTGTGGTTAAGGTAAAACGATATTAAAAAGAAGACTGTTTCTTAAATTACATTTAAAATAAGTCATGATTTGTAAATATAAGTATTGTTTTAAAAATAATTATAAAAAATTATTTAAAAATATTTAAATTTATGAAAACTTGAAAGTTAACTAAAATTTCTAACTTTATTATATATGATTCTTTATTTTTTTTGTAATTTTATGACATTTGTTCCACTTAAATCTCGATTCCGTTTTTATATTTATTTTTTTCCACTTAATTTTGTATATATTCTTAGCTTTCACATTTTATTTTAATTTTTGTATGACAGACAATCTGACAAGTGGTTTTACTTCTATTACTTCGACCAAACTTAAATCAATATATTAATGGTAAAATCCCCTAAGTTGGAATAGCAAATTTTGAAATGTAATTATATTTGAATTAATTTTATTTTAGATATTTTAATTTTATAAATATATGTAAAGTTATTAAAAAAATTATTTCTTATTAAGTATGCTTATCCACACTATTATTACATAAAAGTGTACCCTTCGAAAAAAATAATTATTATTTTATCAAATTTACGTTTTGAGTGACTTTTGTTGTTTTTTTTTCAAATAATTTTTTTCTAAAATTTAATCACTTTTTTTCTGAAATTTAATAACTATTGGAAGGAAATATTATCTAAGAATAAAACAAACATTACCTACACTAAAACTATACAAATTAATCAAACTACATTTTATATTTATAAAATTGAATAATTTTTTTACCTTTGTATTATAAAAAGAATTGACCATGCGTGTAATAAATGTGTTCTCACTAATAATTTAATATAAGGGATTGCTTAATATTTTCTCAATTGTTAATAACTTCTAAATATTATTAATATTTTAAATTTGATATTGAATATTATTTTTAAGTTAATTTTTCAAGAAAATAACATTGATTTTTTATTAATACTGGGTGAAGTTGCATTTTTTTTTATAATGATTGATTCTAATGAAAAGGATGTTGATTTAAAAAATAAAAGTATTGATTTAAATTTTTTAAAAAGTATAATGAGATATTATTATATATTTTATTATTAATTATAGATATATTTGTAATTTATTTATAAATATATGTATGATCATATTTATGAATGTTTGTAATATATACTTATATTGGTGACTTCATAAATAAAGAACATGATTTTTTTTTTCATGATTTATCATGGTATGTGAATTATGGATTAAATTTTATCCAAACAAAATTTATTATTTGTTTTGTTTATTTTAATTGTATATAAAAGGTTCTTCAAGTTTCAAAAATACAAACCAAATTTATTTAGTTTGCAGGTTTCGTTTAACAACTTAAAACAAACTCTTAATCTTTAGTTTACTAAGTTGATACTGTCTTAAAACAGTATGATTTTGTCCAATCTTATTTAGATTAGTAATTTTGCACATGACAATTTTTATAGTTTTCTACGATTTTTTTATGGGTTTGGGAGTCTTAAAATAGTTTTTTTGTTGGAGATAGCCCGTTATCCTGACAGTA